ATCTGGATGGGTACATGAATAGGAAGAGTTTACAGGGATATGGGCCAAATGTTGACACTACCCGCACCCCCCCCAATACACACACTTACTTTCTTTCTTTCTCTCTCTCTCAGTGCCACAAAATATAACAGATACACATTCACTTCTCACTCCCTTTGTCAGTCGCTCATTTCTCACCTTCGTCACCCTCTTCCTTCAAATTGGGCACAAGCCGCGCCGTCAAATCCTATTGGCCGGCAGAGCCGTCCGTCATCAAGCCACGTCCCGCCCCTACTTTCCGAATGGACTATGTCCCTGCCCATCGTACGGTCCCGCCCACTTCCCTCCCTTGGATTGGTTGCCTCGACTGTCGATCTCCTCTTGTTACGACGCCCGTGGTTTTCGATTGGTCGGTTTCTATGTCCATCGTTGTGTCGCGCCCAATCGCTCCATTGACTTGGCCCTGTCCTTTTCCATCAAAAAAAATCGAAAGAACTGCGGATGCTGTAAACCAGAAAAAAAAACAGAAGTTGCTGGAAAAGCTCAGAACGGAGGAAGGGTCACCGGACCGAAAAGTTGACTCGGTTTTCCCTTCACAGATGCGGCCAGACCTGCTGAGCACTTCCAGCGATTTCTGTTTTTGTTTCCACCTTCTCACTCTCTCTTTCTGTCGCTCATTTTTCACCTTCGTCATCTTTCTCCATCAAAATGGGCTCAGGCCCGTGTTCGCCTCCTATTGGCCGGCGGGACCATCAATCATCAACACTTTTCTCTCCCTGTTTTCCGAATGGACCGCTCCGCTGCCAATTATGGGACCCCGCCCATTCAGCACCTTCTGATTGGGTAGTTCTCGCGCATCGCAGATTTCGGCCACGCCCCTGACGTTCAAATGGTAGATCTCGCTGTCCGTCGTCGGTCGATGACCAATCCCTGCATTCATTCGGCGAGTGGGACCCCGCCCCCGGTTGCCGATTGGTCTGAATCCCACGATCATCGTCATGTTCTGTCCAACCACTTCACCCGTTGCCCCTCTACCATGTCTATGGATATGGTCGACCCCGCCCCACTTTTCCATTGGTGTGGTCAGCTGTCCATCGTCCTGGGGCGCCCATGTCCCCATCCGGTTGGCTCTTTCCCACGTCCATCAAAACGTTTCTACACAGCACAGAGATAGTAGGAACTGCAGATGCTGGAGAATCTGAGACAACAAGGCCTAGATTTCTGAAGAAGGGTCTAGGCCCGAAACGTCAGCCTTCCTGCTCCTCTGATGCTGCTTGGCCTGCTGTGTTCATCCAGCTCTGCACTCTACACAGCACACCCGCTTTATGGTTCCGTTACCAAATCTATCACCCGAACTTTCCGTCGATTCGTCTTTACCCCTGTCCATCATGCTGTCCCGCCTATTTACCTTCCTCCGATTGGCTAGACTGCCCAGCGTCTATTTATCCAAACGCTTCTACCCGCCCCCTCGCCGCAAAGTGTTGCGCAGGCCAATCCCGTTCGTTCCCGTCTCCCAAGTCCTTGCTCTGAATGGAGGGAGCACGGATGACGACCTCCAATTATTGCTCATTGGCTCCAAACAAAGAGTGTCGCAATCAGTTATTGGTCTGTGTGCTTATCATTCACTTGCCTCGCGATTGCCCCATGGCCTTCTCACTTGTCAATCAGGTAAAACGCAGTGGGGTTTCGGCCGCCACGCTATCAATCACCTGCCCGCCCCACCCTGTAGCCATTTCATTGAATGCTGCCCGCCTTCTCCCTTGGAGGGAGGGGCAAGCAATGGTGGTTTGGATCCGGATTGTATTGTGATGCTGCTTTGTCTCTCACTGGTAACCATCATGCACAAGTACCAGCGTTGGACCTTCAACTGACAAAGGAACAGCGCTCCAAAAGCTTGTGATTTCAAATAAACCTGTTGGACTATAACTTGGTGTTGTGTGACTTCCAATTTTTACATCTCACCAGCTAACCCTCTCCTCACATCTTGCATTCATCAGGACGGTTTGCAAGAATACCAATTTGAGGGGGAAACAGACATTTGTGCTGCAGGAGAGGCAGGTGCCCATGGTCACAAAGCAGACACAGAGACTGCAGCATTTCAAGAAGTTGACTGGCATGCCATCACTTTTCAGGGGCATTCAATGCTGGCCTCACCAGTCCCACTCCCATTCAAAATGTTCAAAAATCTTGCTTCTGACATGCACACTGTCTCAAACAAAAAAAATTCATCTCGCGGTGCACTTTGTAATTTGAATAT